CAGCATGGAGCTTGCTTGGGATTCTCTCTCTCCCTCTCTCTCTGCTGAATTGTTACCTCTTTCTGCTAATTGAATTGACTCTTTTTATTTCTAATGATGCTTTTTTTTTTTTTTTTTTTTTTTTGCCTTAAAGTTTACTTCAATATTGATATATCTACGCCAGTTTCCTATGGCTACTGTTTTATGTTTCTCCATTCTTTTCTTTCAAAATTTCAAAATTTATGTTTTAAAAAGTGTCTCTTGTAAAACAGCATATGATTTTTACTGTTTAAATTTATTTTTAAAGTAAACTCCATGTCATACATGGGGTTTGAATTCAAGGTCCTGAGATCAAGAGTAGCATGCTTTACTAACCGAGCCAGCCAGGCACCCCTATGATTGTTATTTTTAAAGCTAGCCTGACAATCTTTGTCAACAATGGAGCATTGGCCCATTTACATTTAATGTAATAATGGATTTATCACACATATCTTGCAACTTGCTTTCTATTTGTTCCACTGTTTTTCTTCTTTCTTATCCCCTTTTGTATCTCTTCAACCTGCCACTAAATTGGTTATTCCATCTTCTCCAATTAGTTTCAAAGTCACACACTTTTACTAATACTTTTTATGACATGCATTCTTGATTTATCAAAGTGTAATATTAAATGGGATTTTTCTTAACCCTCTTCTTGGATGATGCAGGGAGCTTAGAACACTTAAACTGTATGTAAGCCCTCTCCATTTATATACCTTTGCTTTCATGCATTTTAATTTGATATATATTTGGAACTCCACAACATCATTACTGTTTTACATCATCGGTACTTACGTTGACCTGTACTTTTCTCATTTTCCGTGCTCTTCAATCCTTCCTGAAACTGTCCCTATAATTGGTATCATTTTCTTTTCTGCCCTTAAAACACTCTTAATTTTCCTTTAGGATATGTGTGCTGATGAATTCTTCCAGTTGTTTGTCTAAAAGTGTCGTTTCTTCTTCTTCATTCTTGTAGGATATTTTGCCAACTAGAAGCGTCTAGGTTGGCAGTCATTCTCTCTTGGCACCTTAAAGGCATGATTCCACTGTCTTCTGCTGTTTCTGCTGAGAGGTAATCCCACCACTACCACTACTGGTGGCTTTAACATTTCTTTTTCTCTGGTTTTCGGCAGTTTTACTATGATGTGTCCAGGTGTGGATTGTCTGTTTTAGGACTGAGGTGATTTAGAAGCTGGGTCACAGTATCCTTGAAGGACAGTCTACTGATAGGAATGGAGGACTAGGTAATCTAAACCAACCCTCCAGCTAAGAACTTGGAAATCTGGCCACAAATTTAAAATTTTGCTTGAAGGTATGTGAGAGCCAACAGGATGGTGAGGTATTACCTGGTCAGTCATATGGGACTGTTTTTCCTCTGGGGTGGGGTGGGGTGTCTTTGCTAATTCCAGAGGCTGTTGTCTGAGTAGTTGGCACTTTCAATACCCTTGTAGGGGCACCTGGATGGCTCAGTCAGTTAAGCATTCAACTCCTGATCTTGGCTCAGGTCATAATCTCACGGTACATGGGTTCAGTCCTGGGTCGGGCTCTGCACTGATGGCGTGGAGTCTGCTTGGGATTCTTTCTTTCTCCCTCTCTCTCTGCTTGTGTTGGGCTCTGTGCTGACAGCTCGGAGCCTGGAGCCTGTTCTGGATTCTCTCTCCCTCTCTCTCTAACCCTCCCCCGCTTGAGCTGTCTCTCAAATATAAACAAACATTTAAAAAAATTTAAAAATACAAAAAAAAAAAAATAGCCTTGTAAAGTCAGGAGAGTCATGGTTGCCATATATGACCTGACCAAGGGGAGGGGGTGGGGCAGGTCCTGGTGAATCTCCCTTGCTTTGTCCCCATATAGGGGATATCCCCCAATGGACACACCCTAATGCAATTAAATTGTATGCTGTATTAAAGTTCTTAAAAGATAAAACATGTATTATTTGCTATGAATTGGGTGCTATAATCCATTCCTCAGCTTTTCATATTCATATGAGGCTTGGAGCTTCATCAGAGAATAGAAACCCTGATCTCCTTAACTCCTGAAGGCAACGTAGGACACTGGAATAGCCCTGAATTTGGCATCAGAAAGCCCAAGGATCAGTCCCTAATATCAGGTGGCAACTACTGAAATTGCAGGCAGAGTGCCTGGGAGGGAATTAAGAGACCCAAAGGGTTGACCTTACAAACCCAAGCCTATAAAGTATGAGCAAGTAGCACAATTCTACTTTATGACTCTGGAAAGGAGCACAGAGTGACTCAGTTACACAGAGAGTTTTAATGCCTAAGGCAAAACCCTGGCTCGCCAGAACCTAAGGGCCAGTATGTTGCCTAAAGAGATCCAGAAATTCAGTGGAAGTATCCCCCACTCCACTGAACTTCTCTCTCTTTACCTCCGCAAGCTTCAGCAAGTTGCTGAGTGTTCTGACTGATGCTGGTCCTATGTTCTTTCCTCTCTCCACCTTCCTCCTCCCCAGCTCCTGTGATTTCCTTCCAGAGCAGTGTCCTTCCTGTGCTTCACCTCGGGGACCTTATCAGTCTTTCCTTTCTTGGTCTTTGTCCTTGAGATCTTTCACACTCCTGCTCCTGTCTGCAGTTGAATGATGGCCGCCCTGTGGGGCCAACACTACAAGGCTGTTGTTCACAGATCTGCCAGCACCAGGCTGGATGGGTGACTATGGGAATCAGAGGCACCATTTTGAAGCTTTTTTGCACATGGCCTTCAGCCCTTGAGAGGGAAGGTGATATTGAGAGGGTCCCGTGCTTTCCAAAAGAAGCATTGTGGCAGAACTCTTGGTTTATGATGCAGTGTAGTAATAGTTCCGTATCTTGGGTAAAATCAGAGGCTAACTCTCATCCAAACACGCGACGGTCCTCTGCTGCCTCATTCTACGCAGTTTTACTTTGTGGAAAACAGATTTCTAAGCAAATTAATGCAAGCGTTAACTCAAGGTTATCAGTTAAATTTATTGTCGTAGTAAATCTTTCACAAAAATCAGGAAGAGACTCCTGGTGGGTTTCCAGAGCTGAGGCAGGGCTGCACTGGTGTCTGGGAGCATGTGCTCATGTACGGCGTGAGGCCGTAGCCACGGCCGGGTTTTGAGGCCAGTGAGCACTCCCACTGTTTGGTTAATTGAGGGGGGGTGGGGGAGAGGAACCTGCTGAGAATGGGGCTTTGGAGGCACCTCGGTGAGCCAGGCGGCCCTCAGGAGGGGGCACTGCAGGATCCCCTCAATCAAGGGCTCCCTGACTGACTTTTGGGGGGCCCTATTTCCTCTTGCCACAGGAACAGACGGTCCTGCAGCCTGGTGACAACCCCACGGCACTGCCCAGCCCTCGCCCTCCAAGGACAGGTCCACGGTCCCACCAGAGGTTCACTTGCTCCCCGGGACCCTTTTAAAATTCTGTGTTTTGGTTTAAAGGAAAAGGAGGCAAATCAACATGCTTTGGAAACAAATTCCAGCTGGGTCTCACTTCCCTGTGGGGGGAAAAATGTTGCTACCTAAAATGATAATTGTTCAGAATGTGAGGGTTGATCCTTCCACCTTCAAACCACCTCTCCCACTGGGCTGGACTGAGCAGGAGCTGTTAATGTGCCTCATCTGCTGGGCTGAGGCCCTGTCCGCGGGATGGTAAGTGAGATCCACGAGGGTCTCCTGCCACTTGTGGAGACAGTTAAGGGGCCTGAACGGAGCAAGGCCTGAGGAGACAACAGGCAAACTGCACCTGCCTCCTGGGTCTAGCCACCAGTGACGGCCCTTCGTCAGTCAGTCAGCCTCAGGGAGCCTCAGGGGCTCCAGCATCATCCTGACGACAAGGAAACGGCCTGGTGGGCCGCAAAGCCCCTGAAGGGAGGGAGCAGCCCAAGCTTCTCATGGGTGGAAGCCACACAGGTGTGCACTGAGGTGCTGGTGTGTTTCTGACCTCTCCAGAGCTTCGTGTGACTGGAGATGGCTGCTCTCAGACCCTCTCACATCGTGACGGACCAAAATGACTCTGGCCTCCAGCCCGGGGAACAGAGGGACAGGAGAGAATCTCGTTCCTCGTGCAGACTAGGCAACGGCAGATTGAAACTGGGTGCTTGGTCTCATCTGGGACCGTGTGCTTTCTATGGGGAAAAGCAAATTCTTTTCGTGTCTCTGAGAATGGAAATGAGGCTCCTCATTCCGGAACTGAAATTTCTGCCTCACGGAACTGCCACGCTCTGTGAGAGGGTGGTCGTGGGCTCAGACCGGGCCTCACAAGGACCATCGCACTCTGCCCTCAGTGCCTGCGGCTAGAAGCTTCTTCCTCCAACTCAGGGTCTAAAAGGGTTTAAGCAAAGTCAGAAATGAAGAGAAAAACATGTTTTTCATCTCATGTAGAGTACTGTATTAATCAAATTGGTCTCCTTTTCTCCTATTAGTCTGGTCGAAGAAAAAAGATTGCTTTCAAAATGAAACTTTTCTTTTCCCAATGATTAATACAGAGTAGATTAACTTAATTTGTGCTAGACTCCAATTTAATTCAGCTACAGCTCAGAGGCCAAATCCACAGAAAAGCTAATCTGAACTTCATGAGAAGGAGCCATTTCTTTCTTTGAGAAAGATGCAGGGGATCTCATCTAAAGGCTTCTATCCAACTGCCCGGCCATAGTGTTTATTAAATCATGGGCCCTCTGAAAGGCAACCCCTCACACATGTGACTTCATGTCCTCATCAATTCCCGTCTTGTCATCTTTTCAGGTATTTCTTAATGTCGAAAGAAGCACGCACGCGCGCGCACCCACACACGCAAACACACGCCCAAAACAAAAATCTTGAACATGCGAAAAAAAAGAAAAACAACCCGAAACAGAAAACCCACAGTATATACTGGTGAAGTGTTATATGCCTAAGGCATCAGGTTCCTGGAAAAGCTCTAGGTTTTTGGTTTAGAAATAAAATTGCGTGTGGAATAGCAGGTTTTTGCATTTATTATTGTCGGGTACCCCCCTCCCCATTTTTTTGCACTACAATCTAAGCTGAGTGATCTATTGCCAACTGGGCACCAATTCTCCAAATCCAAGTGTGAAAGGGAAACATGCTCGGGTGATCCTCTCTGACGGAAGATACACCGGGCAATCTGTCTACTTCCGTTCCCCAGAAAGAAAATAGTTAGAAGGGCTGCTTGGCTGGAGGGAGGCGAGGGTGGGACGTGGCGTCCTGCCCTCAGTCGGAGTCCATTGTGAAGAGCTGGATGTCCTGTGGGTTCCAATAGAGGCCTACCGCTGAGTTGTAGACCAGAGACCAGACATAGGGGATAAAAAACTCCTCGGGCTGCTCCTCTTCCACATACTTGAATTTCAGTTCTGGAAATTTCTGCAACAAAAACGAGATGATTTTATAATGTTCCAGTTCCGTGCAAAAGCAGCGGCAGTGTCTCAGTGGTACTGTGCTATGCAGGGAGCCCGCCTCCCTAACTGGTCACGGGCCCCGAGAGCTCTAGGGGCTCTAGGGGCCAGTTTCCGGATGACTCCTGAGAAGATGCGAATTACCCACAGGAAAGACACGTCACCCTGTCAGTACCTGTCCGCTAATGTCAGTCTGCCGAGCGGAGCAGGGACCCGAACAGGGGGAGAGGCGGGAGGACAAAAGTCAGACTGGGCTGACAGAGGGCTCAAGGAGAGACCAGCTGCCGCACAGGCTGAGGGCTGGCTCTTCTTGAGGGACTTTGCTTTCAGGGCTGAGTCGCCTTGGAGATGAGCGCTCTCCCTCGCGACTCCTGAGCCCTGACCTGCGGGGGCAGGCACGTGTCCACAGTGGAAGGCCGGGCCGGTTCCGGGGCGGCAGCTGCTCCGAACAGCTTGGCCTTGGCCTTCTCCTGGGGGCCATGGTGAGGGCTGCAGCCTCATGGAGGCAGGCTGGGGGATTCCTCACTGAGCCTCCAGAATCGCCCAGGTCTGACTCTGCGCACGTAGCCAGGGGGACCCGGCTGGTAAGCAAGCACTGGGCCTGTAGCGCCTCACCAGGATTTGGCCTTAGGTTCTCTAATTCTACCCATGCCAGGGCAGAGGAAGTGGTTCTCATTCCAGCAGCCTGAGGGGCTGCTGGTCTCGAGGCCCCCGGGCATCCTGGAAGCCTCTGATGGGTCTGAGAAGGGGGCTTGGTGAGAAGGCCTCTGTGCAGGGATGCCTCTGATCACCGTGTGGAGAATGGAGGGCACCTGGCAGAGGCGGAGATAGGCCTGGCCCGGGGCCGGGGGCGGGGGTGGGGGGATAGGCAAACAAGCCTAAACTAAGATGGAGGAGGGGGGGCGGGCAGGAAAACCACCCAGGCACCCACCCATCCACCTACCGAGTTGTAGGGATTTGAAAGCAGCATTTGCAATAATTGAGACTCAACACCTAAGTGCCGGATCCTCGGCGTTCCAGCAAGATGAGAGAAGGGCAGAGTAAGCAGGAAACGCTTCTGGCAAGGTGAGTTCTGAGTTAAATCTTGAAAACGTGTATAGGAATTCCTGAAAGGGGGTCACCCTGGTCACGGATGTTACTTCAACATACCACACAGAGCCCGGTCCCATCTGTTACAGCTTTAATGAAAACCAACTCTACTCCACGGCTCCAAAGGCGTTATGTAAACACAGAATATACACAAATGGGATTTATCAGTGGCCCAAACTCCAGCACCAGCATACCTACCCCTACAGCCTCCCTCACGCTCGACGTACCCCATACTTTAGAGGCCTTTGCAGAACTACTGTGGTTTAATGAGAACCCCAGCCTTTTCAGACCGGGGGTGTTGCGAATCAGTTCTTCGTTACCATCAGTGGAGGCTGAAAGTCTCGGAGTGTGCCCACGGCAATGCTGGTGACTGTGACGCCGTAGGCGACAGTTCCTCCCCCCACCCTGGCTCCCCCGGGCAGTCTGGCTGACGAAGTCTGGTCAGCTAAGGGATGTGGATGGATGCCAGCACTTCCTGAGGTGACTGGCATTCAGCGGGGCCCCCTCGTTTGCCATCCCCTTGCTGTCTGCTCCCGAAGTCCCCCTGAGCCTCTCCCACTCTGGGCCCGCATTCTCTGGGTGCACCAAAACCGCTCAGCAGCTGGGGGGCCTGGGCCCTTGGCACCCTTGCTGAAGCTCCTCACACGCTCTGTGCTGCTTCCGGCCTGGCCCGGGGTTCTCAGGTCGGAGGGAACAGAGTTCTCGGAGGTGGCAATAAGTCTCTGTCACGGAAGCAGGTGTCTTATAGGCTGCAACACAGTGCTGTTCTTTCTCGTGAAAAACCTGCATTTGTGCGACCGAGCGCATGCTGTGGTCACCATGAGGTCTTGACGGAGCTGATCCAGACAACCCCACTAATGGAAGCCCAAGTGGGGCCTGGAGGCTAAGCCGGTTCTGAGTCACCCGGCCCGTGGGGCGGTGTAGGTCTGACTGGGTGGGAAAGTCTGTGTGAAAACGGACACAGGGTTGAGGCCACCCTAGTACTTTGTCCTGGAATTCAACTCTCCGAGGCTCTGCAGAACCCCTCAGGGGTAGTTCCGTGCTCTTTCACTGCATGGAACAGAACCCGGCACACTACTGGTCCTTCGAAAATTACCAAACCACAGTGATGTCCTAATCAAGAAAGAATGAGGGGTTGTGTTTGAAGAGGAAATTTACCCCCTAATAATCAGGATGAAAATCCTAGTTCTCAGAATGGCCTCAAACTTGAGAAAACCTCTCCCACTGACCCGGAGAGAAGCGAGGGGCCGGGGAGGGGCGGGTACAGGGTGGTGGTCTGGAAAGCTCAGAGACCCCACATTCCCTCTTTCCGCTGGAAATAACAACATCCTACATTTCTAAGTAGTAAGGTCACCAATACGATGCACTTGTTGTTAGAAACAGAAGTGACTAAAAGATGTGAAACCTTTTCTCCATCCGGGGACATATTGGGGTTTTTCCTATGAAGGCGTCAGGAAAGGATGTGAGGCCATTTGCGCGAGGCTGCTCTCTGCATCTCTGAGGTAAAATGGGAAAGAAAACCAGAAAACCAAATGCTTTTGTAAGAACTCCTTCCAGCTTAATTAAAGACACTTAGGCAAGAGTCGCTGAGTGGCTGGCACTAGGTTCACCTGCCCTCATGATTTTGGGGGATTCTGATGACTCTTCAGTTAGAAACAGTGATGAGTCCAAGCCTGTCCTTCGATCATGCGGCGGCCCCGCGATTATCCTTCCCACCACCTGATCAAACAGAGCTGAAAATGCCTGGTTTTCACTGTGGCTCAAGTTTATGTCAAAACAACAACCCATCTCGTTCTGGAGTAATGGAGTGCACAGAATCTCAACAAGGGAGGATACCCAGAGCGGCAAGAACATCTGAAATATAGTACATAATAACATACGGAAGACAGTATATAAAATGGGGTCAAGTTTATCTGTCAATACTAGGCATGTTATTTTATTACGAAGTTTTTCTTCAAGCTGACCAATGGTTATTTCTATAGAAGTTCTCCGTAAAAGCATCATCAACTCTGAGGCTATGGCTAACATAACTGATCACCTACTGTAGGGCAGGCCCATTCTAACGCTTCACATTGAGCCACTCATTAAATCTTGGAAGTACCCAGAAAAAGCACCTGAAAGGCGCTGATTCTTTCATTCGGCAAATATGTACTGAGAGCCTACTGCGTCATAAGCACAGTACTAAAAGTCTAGCTGAGCAAGACGTACATAATCCTGGCAACTCAGAGCTCAAAGTCCAGCCGCAGTAACTGGGTGACCTGGGACAAATCTCACATCCTCACCCAGACTCTTACAACATAAAAGTTTACCGTGAGATTTTGATTTCGACCATCTCGTCTCCTTCACAGGGCTGGGACAAATCTGATGAGCTGGTGGCGGTCTTGGGGACGGGCTAAATATCTAACGGTCCCGGGCTGTTCTGTGGGTTGACAATAGAGGGCTTTAAAGGCTAAGCCTCCCAAATGCTTAACACAAAGACAAGCACGAGGCTGTGGCCGAGCTGCTCTTGTGGCTTCAGAGCTTGTGGCTCAGCGGGTGGAGGTTCAGGCACAGCCCCTGCCTGTGCTGGCTCGTGAAGGCCACGGGCCGGACGCCTAAGTCATCGTCGCCCGAGGGTGTGCCACTGGACACAGGAGAGGTGAAGAGCAAGCACGGACGGAACAGCATGAACGCACTTCTATTACCGGCAGACCCTGAACACCGTGGACAGCACCCACGCTCGCCCCCGAACGGACACTACGGGCTCCTCTCCTCAAAGGGACACGTGGGCCGTGAGGTGCTATTTTGGGGGTTCTTTGCTCAGAACTTTTCCCCGGCACTTTTTTTAAAAGGTTCAGAACGGAGGATAAGTCATAATAGCAGGGAAAAAAAAAAAAAAAAAAAAGAGCATGTTCCCTAAAACTGGCTACACACATTTGAAAGCACGAGGTAAAGAGGTACCTTTTTTTTTTTTTTGCGACGAGTTGTTTTTAAGGCCGTGTACTGGGAACATTTTAAAGGGGTGAAATAATAGACAGAAATTATAACAGAGTTTTGGAAACACTATTCAGTCAACCTGATTGAATGTGAATGCAGCCTCTGTATAACAAGCCGTGCGCAAGCTGCATTTAATTTGATCCCCTCTCAAATTTACCTGTCTCGCTACAGAGAGCCAACATGGTTGGAGATTTAAATAGACATTCTCAAAAATATGTGCTCCTCTAGTGTGTCTTAGAAGTCTTGAGAGCTAAGGAAAAGAAAGACAAAAGGTTTTATTTAGCACTAATGACACTGGGGACACATTTTGTCAGGATTCAGTCCAAGAAATGTCATAGTCTGAATGTCAGATCAACAACCTAGAAAAAAATCATTCTTTATGTTCCTTTTCAAGCCTGTGGAGAACAATAATGCCATCCTGTGATGGCTGAGGGAAGTCCAACTTCCTCACTTGAGTGTCTTCATTCTGACTGGGCTTCTTGGGCCCTGCCAGGCCTTCCCAGCTCTGACGTCTGTCCGCACACTCTCTAACCGCATCTCCTCTTGGACTTCTCAGGCCCCCCCGCCGGGCTCTAGCCAGAGGCTGCCGGGTGGATGTGCCTGAGGACTGCTAAAACTCTGGGAGAGCCCAGGAGGCATTCTGGGGACACGGGGGCTTTGACTTGATAGTTATGGCAAGAATCTTCTGGAACAGGCTAGCAGAGGGCAGGGTGCTGTTCACCTTGGGCCTAGGCTCTTGCCCCGTTCTTTCTGAGACAGCTGTCCTGCGATTCAGCTCAATAAGGAGAGAAAATCCGTCTCTCAAAAAGCTTGGAGCTTGGTCTCAATCCAAAGCTACTTACAACAATCCGGTTGTTTTGATTTTTGGAGCCAGAGGTAATGCTAGACTCTCAAGTTTGGCTG